TGTGTACAATCATTTGAAAAAAGAATAAATAAGTGTCTAGAAGTTCAACGTCACAATTTCGAACATTTAATCTAATTTATTAAACAGTGAGAGGCAGGGGGACTCTCTTAAAACTAGCACCCCGATGCATCGCGATGGGAACAAAAAACTACTGCGTCCTGGTCCTTGTTCTTGCGTAACGTTAAAAATAGATGTTAACTTATTGATATACGAATAAAATCCAAAAATTAAACAAGTTTTTCTTTTTTTCGATCCGATGTGTAATTTTTTAAGATATTCCCAAAAATCGGGTTTCTTGCGATTACAGCGCCATCTATCAGGAATTAAAAAAAAGTTTTTCCATAAAAATTACTTATTTTTTAATGGGAAATCCGAATCTGCAATAAAAAATGGGGGTTCCTATTTAGAATTATAAAGTTGCCCCCACCCCCACCCCAGGGGGTGGTGGTGAGGGTCGACTTTGGTATCTTTGGATGGCCCCCTTCCAGGCGAACAAATTTTATTCAAAACTTTTTTTGATCCGATGCGTAGTTTTCGAAATATTTTAATGTCTTCAGATAAATCGGCCACCCTGTATAGATATGTATATATATATATATATATATATATATGAAGAATACAAAAATATAGGGAAAGTACTGAATGATATCATGAGTAGTAATAAAAGAAATAGAAACACAGACTTTGGAATTACAGGCAACGGAAAAGCTATGACAAAGTATGAGATCGCACAAAAATTTAACGAACACTTTACAAGTGTAAGTGAAAAATTAGCCCAAACAATTATTGCTGGAGATGACCAATTCGTAGAAGAGTATAATAACCAGAGTAAACCCTTGCAGTATAAAGGAAATTTACAATATAATAAATAAGAACAAATACACCAGGTTACGATAAAATTTCCAAGCAAGATTGATAGACACTTTTGATATTATTAATGAAATAGTTGTAAACTTAATAAACAACATTATATTAACGGGGAAATTTTCCAAAGAGCTAAAGTAATACCTATACATAAAGGGGGTCCAAAAGGCAATTTAAGAAATTATAGACCCATTTCATTATTGCCAATTTTTTCCAAGATAGTAGAAACAGTGCTTAAAGCACGAATAGTTAAATATATCAATTCTACCTGTAAATTTGATCCCTACCAATATGGAATCCAAAAAGATAGTAGTACATTAAGTGCAGCATCAGACCTATTAGAATTTACATCAAACAAATTGAATGAAAATAAATTTGTCGTAATCGTATTGTGGACCTACAAAAGTACCGTCTTGATGCTCGAAGAGGTCGGATGCGTCAAGATCCTAAGTGGCGTATACGATACAAACGTAAAATACCAAAAACGAAACAAAGTATCCGGAAATGTCGGTGATCGTTAATGAATAATAAATAATAAATAAATACATAAATAAACAAGAAGTGCGAAAATTGTGAGATAACGCCGTAAAAGTGTGCAAGTGAATAAGTGCCTAATTGAGGCTGGGCAGCAACGATAAGTCAACCGGCGCACCTGGATCGGAGCGTTCCAAAAACGTCCTTTTTCTATGCAAAAACCTACAGGAGAAGGACTCCCCGCGAAAGACAAAGCATCAGGTTTATAGCCTAATAATCAAGCTAAGTAATTCTTCTAATTGCATTCTTACCGTATAATCGTTAAATGTTTATATAAGCATTTCACAAAGTTGCAAAAAAATCTAAGAAATCTATTCGTCTTAAAAATTAAATTTAAAAAATAATAAGAACATTTCCGTAACTGTTAAATAAACAACCTATTTTCTCATAATAGACAAACGTAAACAACCAGCGTAAAAGGCGTAAGCAAATAAACCAATTCAAGCAAGAAGACAAAAATTTATCATAAATAAATTTAGGGTCACACTCATAAATCAAGCCAGGCTAATACACGGAATTCAAGAGCCAAGCAGGCCATAAAGACGCATTCCACTATGCACTACAGGGCCGGCTCTATTTTGAAGATCGATTTACATAAAGTGATTAATTAATTAATTAATAAATTAATTGATTGATTGATATTGATATAATCATATTGGTATTGGTATTGATGGTAATATTGTTGGTATAAGTGTTGATGTTGATATTGGCATTATAGATATTGATATTAGTATTAATATTGATTGATTAATTGGTTGATACTGATATTAACGTTAATATTGATTAATTGATTGATTGGTTGATATTGGTATTGATTATTTGTATTATTTGGTATTAGTATTGGTATTGACTAATTGAAATTTATATTGAATTTATATATGTAGATACTAATTTAACAGGAAACCAGGCAACAATTGATCATTGCAGAGGGCAGCGTGCGTGTGTGAAGGGAAATCAAGTGGGTGCGTCGCAATATTATATTATTGTATTATATATATTATATAATATACACATAAGCTCACGCAAGCAAAGCTTGGAGGATGGAGAAAGTAAATGGGCAAAGCCCCCACGCGAAATGAAGTGGTAGGCCATCTATTGAGGCATGCGTTGCACGCCTGACATAGGGGCCGGGTTTCAAATTGATGCGATACCCCACAGGGCCGGCTTTATCTATTTTGTATATTAATATTTTTATTTTTAAATTAATTTGAAAAAAAATAAGTAAGAAGGCAAAGATATAAATAAATGAAAACGGTATGAACACTAATATAGCAATAAAATAAATAAAGAATATACAAGGTTGGTAGCCGGAGTAAGCAAAAAAAAACTAACATACCCACCCCCATTCAGGAATACCAAATGAATGGGGTTATTACTAAAGCCCTGGTTTAGGAGGATTCCGGATTGTACTTAGTTTTGGGTCAGTTCAATGTCCTCCAAAAGCCCTTCCTAAACTGGACGTATGGCCCGACCCGGCTGACAAAAATCCCGGGAGCTGCCTTAACCTTTGACACTGTCATCCACGAACTCCTAGGGTGGATCTACCAGCCGGCGTAAAAACTTCGGATCCAACAAACACAGGTAATGCTGTGATTTGGCGGGATACGCAGGAGAACGGAAAGGGGGTAATATAACCTCGGGAGATCAGTGGATGACAATATATCTGGGGCTTGCCATACGTTCCCATACTCATACTCATACTCATACTCGTATTGTGGACCTACAAAAGTCTTTCGACACTGTCGATATACATATACTACTACGCAAATTGGAAAGTATAGGATTTAGAGGCCCAACCTACCAACTTATGCAAAGTTACCTGAAAAATAGGAAGCAATCCACTCAAATTGAAGATGTTAGCAGTGATTCATTAAGTACAAATATGGGAGTTCCACAAGGGTCGGTTTTAGGCCCGGTACTATATCTTTTGTATGTGCACAGTCTAGAATTTGTGGAACTAAAGGCTAGATATTTTAAATTTGCAGGTGACACTTCTTTGGCTTATGCAAGAAAAAAATTAATTAAAACTAGAACAAATAATTAATGAAGACTTAAAACTATATAATAGATGGCTGGCTGTGAATAAATTAAGTATTAACGAGAAAAAGACTGTATACATGTTAATTAAGCAGAAAAGTAAACCTGGTGATAATCTATTACTTAAGCTTAATGGTGAATCTTTAAATAAGGTATCTAATTTCAAATACTTAGGACTAAACATTGACTGCAAGCTAACCTGGGAAGAGCAAATAAACTCCATAATCAAAAAAATGATTTCTATCATTGGCGTGTTCTATAGAAGTAGTTACCTACTAAATACAAAATGGAAGCGGCAGGTATAATATATACCTGGTATATTATAGTTTTGTATGTTCAAATTTGAGGTACCTTATCCCATGTTGGAGAAAGGCAGCTGATTATCTCATTAACCGATTACAAAGAATACAAAATAAGGCAATACAAATCCTGTTTAATTTGGACTACACAACACCTACTGTGCAAATATATAACATCACAAAACTTATGAACTGTAACACATTAAAACATCTAGAACAATTGAAATTGGCTTTCAGTTGTAAACATAATGTTCACAAATTAAATCAAACTGTGCAATATAACAGAGACTTTCATAAATACTCAACAAGGAACAGAGAAGACTTCCGAAATGAACTGAGGCTGACTAGCAAAACACAAAGCTCGCCAGTTTATCAAAGCATACAATCCTATAATAGACTCCCGCAAGAATTAAAACAAATAAACGAATGGAATAGTTTTATTGTGAAAGTAAAGGCATATCTAATCTCTGAACATTTTTCTTAAACTTCTTTGCATACATAAAAATATGAAATTAAGGTACTCGTTTCCAAACAAATTTAATTTTTTACAAATATACAACTTTAATATAACTTGCAAATACTGCTAAATTTTTCGCAGAAGGTTATCATTATTCTATACAGGATAATAAAATTTTTCACATAAAGTATACTTATAAAATGTATGCTGTTTGTAAAATTTAATTTACAGTATATATACTGTAAATTAAATTTTACAAACAGCATACATTCCACGGACAGTTGCGTTTTTTTTGAGGTCTACATTATATTTTTACCAGAAAATACCCGTTAGGTGGAAGCATTAGTTCCTGGTAGACACTAGCATAATTCTACAATTATTTTATTATGTAAGGGAACATTTTTGACGCCGCGGCGGTTTAATTAAATAATACCAATGACACGTACGTGTACTTTTTTACTGGTGAGCGACCGTAGCCGTTTTTTATTTTGTGTGATTACACGCAAAATCCGGGACGTTTCCGGAAGGTTTACTCTTGCGGGACATGTTGATAAAAAATTCGGGACTGTCCCGCAAAATCCGGGACGAATGGTCACTTTATGTATAACCATTAGTTTTGATTAAAAGTTGGAATCTGCTGTGTTCCAAAATGTATGATTTTGTCTGAATAAAATTTTATTGTTTTAACCTCCCGCATTTTGATAAAAAGTTACATTTAAAGGTACAGGGACAATTTTACACCTCTTATTCTTATATACCCACTCTTTAAACTATTTTTCCATACATGATTATTTAAATACTTGTTTCAGGCGAACGTCCTTATGCTTGCGATCAATGTCCGAAAAGGTACCATACATCCAGCAATTTGGCAGTACATAAGCGAACTCACACAGGCATTAAAAACCACCGATGCGAAATTTGCGACAAAGCTTTCGGCGATCCTCGTACCCTCAAATGCCACCTTCGGGTGCACACCGGAGAAAAACCGTACGTTTGCGAAGTTTGCGGCAATAGATACTCCCAGTCCGGTCAACTTGCACTACACAGAAAATCTCACTTGATACTAGGGATGTAACGATACATAGTTTTGCTGATACGATACCGAATATTGTAATAAAGTTGTAAAATATATATACTCTTCCACACGTTTTTACCCGACTGCCGGAGGATAAAAAGTCTGAATATATAGGTCTTAGTAAGTCAGAACAATAGCAAGATTGGAAGTCTTCTGGAAGAGTTAATAAGACTTTTAGTAGAGAAATGGTAGGTACCTATAGCGATAAAAATCTTCTTCTTCTTCCTTGGTGGCCTAAGGCCTTAATGGTCTCGGTTTCAATGAACCACTTTGACCAGCAACAAGTTTTAATGTCCATGCGCTTTACTAAGCCGTCCACCCATAGACACGTGAATTTTCCAAATCTTGGATCATCCACTCAATGTATTGTACAAATCACAAAATACTTGCGATATTGTTAAAAAATACAGGTATATTTCTATACCCGGAATTCAACTTTGTCCCTCCTGGGACAAAGTCAGCTATGTTTCAAACTTTTCATCGAGCAATGTCCCAGAGATGAAAGTGCGATGCACCACACACGAAAGACAAAATCGAACTCTGCGATAAAAATAAATATCCGGAATAATTCAAAGAGGTTTTATTTGGTTATTGTAAAATAAAACAAAAAGAAAAGTATTTATTTACATTTTTGCTGTGTTGTTATAAGCAAAGTTTATTGCATAATTACCTATATAATAACATATGTAAGGTGTAATAATTATAACAATTATAATTTTTTACATACGATTCGCTTGACTTACTTTCATTGTTGCCCGTGTACGTTTTATTTTAATATTTTCTTTTTATATACGCAAATATTTATCTAACCATTGTTCCCAACAATTTTTCTAAAAACTATTGTTATTACACGTGTTCTAGACGCAATACCGATTTTCTCAGCTGACCAATTAGGGCACAGCTCACCCGTCATGGGATTGCATCTTCTGTCAGTCCGGCCCAGTGTTGCCGTTTGCAAGTATTTTACTCGAAAATCGGATATTTTCGTAATGTTTGGGGGTAGAATTTTGAAGCAGGTAAAATCGGTTAATTTGCAAATTTCGATCAAAATAATAACTACAGAAATTTTCAGTAAATAATATTGTTTATTTACTAAATATGCACAATTATTTCATTTCGTCCTGTTACATTTTTATTGATTTAATTAATTTAATTTATAAATTAAAAATATACATAGCAGTTTTTTTTAGTATTTTGTAATGTTTGCTCAGGAACTTTTATGGCATTCATCCGGCAACACTGTACGAACCATCAAACACAATGAAAGCAGCTTGAAGATCAACCAATATGGTTATTTTGTTTTATGAGTTCAACTGTGGATTATTATGCCTATGCGTTGCGAATAATTCTTATAGTTATTATATCTATTATACCAAAAGTGTGTCTCAGTTAACTGTTTTATTGTAATGAATTTAAGTAAACGTTACTTACCTATATTTTAAACATTGCTTTCGTGTTTTTATAAGCCTTATAACAACACAAGTGTTTATAAATACTTCTTTGTGTTTTATTTTGCAATAACCAAATACAACATCTCTGAAGAATTCCGGGTATTTATTTTAAGTCTTATTAACTCTTCCAGAAGACTCCCAAATCTTGCTATTAGTCTGACTTACTAAGACTTATTCAGATTTTTTTCGAATTAATAAGTCTTATTTAGAGTTTTTAAGAGGAAGTAAAACTTTCAAAACTCTTACTTTTACTTTCAGAGAAAAATGTCCACACGGGAATGTGTTTCGTATGTTTGTATGTCATTATGTACAAAACTGGCGATAACAATTTATTAAGATGTAAGTATTTGTTACTTATTTAATTTTCCCTTGTGGAAATTTTTCTCTGAAAAAGTTTTAATAAGTAAAAATAAGAGTTTTTAAAGTCTTACTTTCTCTTAAAAAGTCTTAATAATACTTATTAAGTCGGAAAATGTCTGAATTAGTCTTAGTAAGTCAGACTAACAGCAAGATTTGGGAGTCTTCTGGAAGAGTTAATAAGACTTTTTAAGACTTAATAAGACTTTTAGCAGAGAAATGGTAGGAACCTAACTACAGCGATTAAAATAAATATCCGGAATTATTCCGAGAGGTTTTATTTGATTATTATAATATAAAACACAAAGAAAAGTATTTATTAACATTTTGCCGGGGTGGTAATAAGCCAAGATTATTGCATAATTACCAATATAATAACATATGTAAGGTTTAATAATTATAACAATTATATTTTTTTACATCGTTGCGCTTGACTTGCTTTTATTGTTGCCATTGTACTGTTTTATTTTAATAGTTTCTTTTTATACGCAAATATTCATCTAACCATACTTCCAAGCACTTTTTAGACACAATATCGATTTTCTCAGCTGACCAATTAGAGCTGATCTGTCATGTGATGGCATCTTCCCGCGTTTTCAAGATAGCTCTCCTGTCACTACTTACCAAGTGTTGCCGTTTGGGGGTATTTTACTCGGAAATCGTGTATTTTCGTCATGTTTGCGGGTAGAATTTTGAAACGCGTAAAATCGGATATTTTCAGTAAATAATATTGTATGTTTACTAAAAATGCATAATTATTTTGTTTTATAAAGGATATCCTGTTACAGTTTTATTTACTTATATAAAAATTTTAAATAAATTTAATTATTTTTTTTAAACAGGGCGAATGCGCTTGTAAATTTAAAATATAACTAGTTTTTTAGTACCTATTTTGTAATTTTTGGTCGGGAACTTTTATGACATTCATCCGGCAACACCAGGGCTGGATGCTCCCGTGTACGAGTTTTGGTTCGTCCCGCGCATGACGTTACTTGATGAGTAGTTGCTGTGAGAATACACGAATAATAGTAATATTATCAAAGAAAATGGAGAAATATCCCTATAGTACGTTTATATTAAACTTAATATTAAAGAAAGTGTTATAATATGGATAATAGATGCTTTCAGTCCTTGATAACATTTAGGGCTGTAATTTAAGCGTTGGTGGCCTTAACGTTAATATTGTCTATTCTTTTTGTGGCATTTTAACACTGTTCCACAAATCAAACGTTTTCGGGAATCGATTAAATTTAATGTTTTTATCTAAAGGGACTGGTTGTCCGAATTGCATCCAAATAAGCCACACCGCATTTTAATAAATGCCAATGGCACGACACAAACTAAAACACAAACAAGTTAACGCAACACAAAAACAATAATAAACAAACAGAACAGGTTAACACAACGCAATAATATTACGGGAATTTTGGTTTTACTGAAACGCAGAGTTTAACAAATTCCGTAATCGAGATTTATTCGTAGAACGTTACAAAAACATTTATAAGGAACACAACAGAGCTTTGATGTTAACAGATTACACTTTATACAAAATCGCGAGAGAAAAATTACGTGGCTACCATATTGTTCTTAGTTTCTGTCATTAGTTCAATTGTGCCAACTAACTAGGTCAAAAGTCACTACCGAGGTCACTACATATTGCTAAAGCAGCGTTGTCAAGTTTATAAAGTTATTATTTTGCTTCTTCAACACTTCCTCTCAAAATATAAGTCATAGTTCATTTCTAGTCTTTCACTTAATTTTAACAGTTTTTTTGTCTGGTCGTCATTCCCAGCATGTCACGCAGTTTCTCAAAACGTGGACGCGGCAGTGGTTTCGTGAGAATGTCCGCAATTTGTTCTGTTCCGGCCACATGCTCAAGCTTTATGCAGCCTTCCTTGAATTTTTCCCGTATGAAGTGATACTTCACGTCAATGTGCTTGGTGCGCTTATGGAACTCTGGATTTTTCGCGAGCTTCAAAGCGCTGGCATTGTCGATCTGAAGACACGGTGTGTTTGTCGTTGTCATCTCGGACAGAAGGCGGTTGACCCAGATGGCCTCTCTTACGCCTTCGAATGCAGCGACATATTCTGCTTCAGTTGTCGAGACAGAAACGCACTGTTGCTTCTTGCTGATCCATGAAATGGCTGCTCCGGCGAACTTGCAGACAACTCCGCTTCTGGGCCTTCTCGTTGTGATATCTCCTGCGTAGTCAGCGTCGCTGTATGCCTCCAGCGAACTGTCCCCTCGTCGATAGAATAGGCCGCAGTCGATGCTGCCTTTCAAGTAGCGAAGTATACGCTTCACAGCCATCCAATGAGACTGTCGAGGCTGCGCCAGGTGCTGCGAGACTGCGCTGACCGCGTAGGCGATGTCGGGTCGTGTACCCACCATCAGGTACATGAGGCTACCGATAACCTCTCGATATGGAGTCGATTCTCCAACTTGGGGGTCGTCCTCTCGATCCTCCAGGTGGCTGTCACAGGGTGTGGTCACCGAATTCGCCTCCATCATGTTGAAGCGTTCCAGAACCTGCTTAATGTAGGTCGACTGATCTGCGAAAATACCGTTAGAACATTTCATAATATTAATGCCAAGAAAACAGTTTAAATTGGACACTTTAATTTGAAAGTTCCTCTGTAGCTCACTTATAAAAGCTTGAACTTGTTTGGAATTAGTTCCCGCAACAAGTCCATCGTCAACGTACACAGCAATCGCGATTAAAAAGTTCGTAGCACGCTTCACGAACAAGCATGGGTCTGCTTCACTTTGAACATAACCTTGTTTTAACATAAAGTCTACTAGGCGCTTGTTCCAGCATCTCGGCGATTGCTTCAGCCCGTAGATGCTTTTGCGTAGTTTGCACACGCGTCCGGTACCGTCCTCGTGCCCCTCTGGTTGAGACATATAGACCTCTTCGTCCAACTTACCATACAAAAACGCAGTTTTAACGTCAAATTGTGTCAGCATCAAATCTTCGCTGGACGCAACACTTAGAATAGTCCTCACGGTGTCAAAACGTGCCACCGGGCTGAACGTTTCTGCGTAGTCGATTCCTTTTCTTTGCGTGAATCCTTTCGCTACCAGACGCGCCTTGTGGCGCTGTACTGATCCGTCTGGGTTGGTCTTTACTCGTAGAACCCATCGATTTCCAACAATCTTCTTACCTGGGGGTGGATCCACCAACTCCCACGTGTCGTTCTCTCGTAAGGATTCGAGCTCGTCGTCCATAGCATGCCTCCACTCGACGGCTGCC